AGGAAGAGAGCTGTCTGAAAAAGGAAGGGCTGAACATCAAGGTTTTTAGAAGACACCCATTCTTTTAGGAATAAAAAAAAAAGTAGCAAGTAACAACCCGTAGGTACAGAGCTAGAACTGTAAGCAGAATTGTAGCTTTGCGTTTCCCCAGGTTGGTCTACGTGGCCATTATCTTTTCTTCTGGCCTGATATGAATTTTGAGAAAGTAAAAGACAATACCGTGCGATCCATTTGGTAATTTCTACTTCAGAAATGGGGCAATCCAAAAAGTGGTAATTTTTACATATAAATAAAGGCTGAAGGCCTTCGCGCAGAAGGGCGCGTGAGAAGTGCCATGCACCCTGCTTGTAGGCCCACAGCCCAGGGAAGTGCTCTAGGTCTCTGCCAGGATGGTGGGCACTCGCCTCAGAGTTAAAACCAGTGTTTCTACACAGAAAACCCCTGAGATGTCTGATGCTTCCACCCAGACGGAACTGGTAAGGAAAGGCTGAGAGAACTGGGTTTGTTCACCCTTGAGAAAGGAAGGCTTAGGGGAGACCTTATCACCATGTTCCAGTATTTAAAAAGTGGCTACAAAGAAGATGGAGACTCCCTTTTTACAAGGAGTCACATGGAAAAGACATGGGGTAATGGGTACAAGTTACTCCTGGGGGGATTCTGATTGGACGCAGGAGGAAAATTTTTCACAATGAGAACAATCGGCCATTGAAATAATCACCCCAGGGAAGTGGTGGATTCCCCAACACTGGACACTTTTAAGATTCAGCTGGACAGGGTGCTGGGCCATCTTGTCTAGACCATGCTTTTGCTAAGAAAGGTTGCACCAGATGATCCTCGAGGTCCCTTTCAGCCTGGTATTCTACGATTCTATGATTATAGGGACAAAGCAATTGGTTGGAGAAGAGGACAGCTAAGGGTCTATGTAACAAATATCACTAGAGGCTCATTTGCTCATCAGTGTTTGCATGGCCTCACTGGGTTTGAATTCTTTCCCCTGAAATTATGGCATTTTAGTCCGCACAGCTATCTTTAGTTCTTTAATGAGATCACTTGGACAATCAGTAGCTCAAAGCTCTGTGAAGTCTATGAGGGGTTAGCTAAAGACTGCTGTTGCAGCATAAGCTCTCTCTTGTATTTCTTCCTCTAATAATTAAAGCTGCACATGCAAATAAAGGGCAAACAAATGCTTCATGGCTCAGGACATGCAGGTAAATGAAAGCCTGACAGTGGAAGTGATTTTAAGATTCAGGCTAGAGTTTTATTAGGGTAATAATGAGGAAGAGTATGATATGCTCTCACATTTTATATGGGCATTTTTCTGGTCCAGTAAAGGGGGTTACAAGGCTTCCACAGCATAGTCAAACACTGAGATATCTTCCTCCACAGTCCACCTTAAGACCTGCCTCACTTTCAAGACCCCTGATTTGCCCTCTCACAAGGGGATGAAATACCAAAGGACCTGTTTGTTCCACCAGTGTGAAGGGGAGGCCCCTTGTCTTATGGACCAGCAAAAGCTTACTTGCACAGCTTGCAAACCACTCTTCAGTTTTCAGACGCAGCTCCTGTCCTTGTAACTTGTGAGGTGACTGCTGCCTCTGGACAGCCCAGCAGTCAGCATGTGCCAGGGAGACCGGCCAGCGCGGGCTGGCAGAAACAGTTCTGTTGCATCGCCTGCAAGAACCTCCCCGGATCCTGGGAAAGGAGGTCGAGATGCAGGGGGAGAGGATGGCATGGACCAGGCATGTAGACCAGGCATGGAGTGAGTCCAGCAGAGACTGACTAGGGCCACTGGGCTGGCATTTTGGGAGTGTCCATCAATGGCAAGGAGTAGATGGTATCTGGGATGTGTGGATTGTGCTTGGCTGGAAGTCACGGCAGAGACCATGCAGAACAGTAACTGCATCTTTCGACTGTCGTTTCCAACCCATGTAACATCTCATCTGGGGGAGGAGAAGCTGCTGAAAATGAGGTCACTTTCAGAAATATGCCCAAAACATGGATGTAGGGAA